TGTTTTATTTTTTTTTCATGTACAACAACCTACATTTATCAAATACAGTCCTGTCATCATCTTCTGGTTCCTGCACAATGGTGGAGGGTGCAGTTTCACTTCACTGGGGCTTATTTTTGGGGTAGGGCTTATATTACGAGCATCTGGAAAAAACATACTATGGTTTATTTCCAGGTTAGGCCTTATTTTCTGGGAAACAGGGTAGTCACCTGCCAAAGACTGTTAATGATCACTAATAATCAATGGCTGTAATCTTATTATGCAGCATTATGCCATGCAATTATGGTGAAATCATACGATGTGGCCATTTGGGGGGGGAAATAAGAGTTTCCTATCCCCACTTCGCAGCCCCCTGATTCCAGGCATCTCTAAGGATTCTTCTCATCTTGGGGAAGCCACGGAACACGAAAGGGAACCACCAGCAGTTTTCAGTTATTAAAAGCTTCTCCCACATCCCAAGGTTAAAAGGGATCCCTAGAGAGTCTTGGAACCCAAGGTGGAGTTAGGAAAGCATAAATTAAAGATTAAAGTCTACAGCTGATGACATAATCAGCCTTTACATACGTAGAATTGTGGGACAGGATTCCAGCCAGTATACATGAATACTGTATGTTATTGTTGTGTGCTCTCCAATTGCTTAATTAACATATTAGTAAAGTAAAAAGCAAAGTGTGCTGCTTATATACCATTCCATAGTGCTTAAAGCTCTCTCTGGGCAGTTTAGAACTTAATTATGCAGGCTACATATTGCCCCACATCATGAGCTGGATACTCAGTTTACTGACCACAGGGTTAAGGATGGAAGGCTGAGCCAAGCCCGAGACAATTTCCTAAGCCCAGTCTTCACTGCAGTACTGCAGTTTAGCCACTGTGCCATGAAGTTCAGTATACATTTTTGGGACAGACAGACAGACAGACTGACTGACTAATAATCTGGATTTATTCAAAGCCCTTGGTATAGTTTTAGTTCTTAGCATGCTTCCACCTTAGCATACCCATTTGATTATTGATTTTGAGATATCCATGTGACAAGCACTTTGACTGTTACTGGACTATAGTCATTCTAAAAACCCATCAGCAATGTAATTCTCACCTTCCTTTCTCCATCTGATGTGTCTCTACCCTTCCATCATCTCTACCATGTATATAAACCTGTGGCCTTACTTTTATTCTCCATGTGTCAGAGAAAATGGATTGTAATGCATGAAAGCTGACCCTGGAATAGATCCATTTGTCTCTAAGATATCACAAATCTTCTATTTCTATTTTTGCTATATGACCTGGAGCAGACTAACATGGCCGCCTCATTGTAAACATCCCTACAAAGAACATCAAACTCAATGATATTTCTCAACTATTGTGCATTCTAGAGATCACAGTCTAGTGAATTAGCATTCTTTTCTGTTTTGTTTTTTTTTTTAGATTGCCTGGAAAAAAGCCAGGGAAAGGTTTTTGTTTTTGTTTTTGACTACAGCTCCCAGGTTCCCCAAACAGAATGGCCAGAAAGCAACATTTCCAAGCTGTGCTTTGGACTCTGACTTTTGAGATACCCATTTCTCACATTTACCTCAATTAAGACACAATACAAAAAGGGGATTTTAAAAAGATGGTGCTCTTGAAAGTGGATTTGATTACATTTGTGGGTCTTTAGGAGGACTTAGATTGACAGAAAGACACTCATAATGAGACACACTTGATGCACAAAAAAGGAATAGGAACAAAAGAACTATCTGCTTGAATTAATACAAGGCCCCATCTAGTTTAAGGACATGAGAACAGCCTTACTGGCTCTAATCCAGAACTCTGTTCCCACCCTGGCCAATCAGATGCCTACGGGAAGCCCACAAGGGGGACAGAAGTGCAATAACACCCTCCCACTCGTGTTCTCCAACAACTGATACTCTGAAGCAGATTGGCTCTTTGATAATGGAAGTAAATATATAGCGATCATGATTAGCAGACATTGATAGCTTTATTCTCCACGAATAAATTGAATCCCCTTTGAAAGCTGTCCAGGTTTGTGGTGATCACTACAAGTTTGCAAGGGGGAAAAATTATAGCTTTAAACATGTGTTGTTTAAAAAAGTATCTCTGTTGAGGCAACCCCGAACCTCCTAGCATTCAGCTTCATCAGAAGACCCGTTGAATGACTCCAGGTTCTAGAATCATGAAGGACATTCACCTGTCAGTTTTTCCATACCATTCATCTTGCAGACCTCTCCCTCACCTATTTACTATTTTTCTGAGTTACAGAGTTTAAAACATTGTGAACTTTCATCATTTGGGAGCTGCTCCATATCTTGATCACTCTGGTTGCTGTTCTGTGCACCCTAGTTTCTGTTTCTGTAGTGGCCAGCAGGTGTGGATTGCTCAGCCTGCATCTTTTACACATCCCATGTGTTCAATCCTGATTCTTTTACCTCCCATTAAAAAAAGAAACCATATAAAATTGCATTTAAACTGGATGCATGTCCCCTAATACAGTGGTGCCCCGCAAGACGATGTTCATTCATTCCGCAAAAATCGCTGTCTTGCGAAAACATTGTCTTGCAAAATGCAGTTCCCCATTGGATATTGAAATCTATTTAATGCATTCCAATGGGTAAAAAATTGTTGTCTGCGACATAGGAAAACCGTTTTGCGAAGCGTGGACCCAGCTGTCAGAATCACTGTCTTGCAAAAAACCGTCCCTAAAAAAACCGTTTTGCAAAGCGTGGACCCAGCTGTCAAAATCATCATCATGCGAAAAACCGTCCCGAAAAAAAAAGTCTTGCGAAGCATGGACTAAAACATTGTCTAGTGAAAATCGCCCATAGGGAAAACCATTTTGCGAAGCGCTATAGCGATCGCAAAAAAAGTCTTGCAAATTAACCGCTTTGTGAGGTAATCGTCTAGCAAGGCATCATTGTACATATTTCCCCCCAGTATACACATTTCTATACAGTCTTTGAGCTGAGAACCGTATGCAAAACTCAGAAAAGATCACCACCTAAAGGATAACTGTGTTCTGATTTGATCTGATTTGTGTACTGGTTAGTTGTCTTAAACTATTTTTATTTTATTTAATCAATTTCTAGACTCCACTGTATCTGAAAAAAAAAATGAACTAGTTTACAATGAGAGTTTAAAAAAACTAAAATACCAAGTAAAAATCTCCAAATGAAGAAAGAAAATTAAAAAACAAGAACTTGAAACAATTTTTCAACAACACAACACGATGGCTGAAATTCTGTTGCTCAACATTGTGTGCTGCGCTACAGCAGGCCTGTTGAATCAGTGAGGATTTCTTGAGTCAAAGCAGTGTGCTGCCTATATACCACTTCATAGCGCTTAAAGCTCTCTCTGAACTTTATGTTTCATTGATTCAAATGAACCTCCTCTAGCTGTAATTTACTACACGAAGCCATAGGATTTCACCCAATGTGTCAGCAGAAGCCCGAGTGAAGAGATAAGTCTGTGACAAGTGACTCAGCCCAGTTGCTGCTTTCCAAATACAGGGAGGGGCATCTCAAAAGATAAGGGGACATGGAGAAGGCTTGCTTCTGGGTCACCATCTGATGACAAGCAGGAGAACCTACTACAATATCAGTTAAAGCAGGCCACTGGATATGGCGAAGGCGTAGGGATCTCTCTCCCTTTCCTCTCCCATTGCCTTACCTACTGCAGCCCTGCGGCCAGTTTCACTACCAGCCTGGTATGGGGAAAGGGTTTTAAAAGCTTTTGGGTAGCTGATTGGCTCAGAAGGAGACCTATTGTACTTCCCAAGTTGGCAGGGTTGGTGGTGGAATAGCTCAGCTTATTTCTCCCTCAATTTCATGAGAGGAAGAGCTTGTACCTTTCTTATTTATTATATTCCCTCTCCTCTATAAACATGCACCTTCTGAAATGCAGCAGAAAGAACTGTAAAGAACATTCTTAACAGAGCTTTGGCGTAATTTAAATTGTTTCATTCCCACTCCCCTTTCTACTGCTGTGTTTGCAGCTTAACCCATACTGTATTTTGCACCTTTCCACCGCCGCAGCGTAATGAGACAAAAATCCTGTGTTCCTTTGGTGGGAGTCAGCTTCAGGGAAATAAGCGAGGTTATTTTTTGGGAAGACACATTCAGAATCCTGCTGAGTTGCCACAGTTTAACCATCTATTCACTAAACCCGCAAAACGTCCTTTACAGGGAGTTCAACCCATATTCCTTCCATGGGAACTCTGCACATCCTCAATTATCACAATATCTGAATGGGGCCATATGGTTGAGGTCTCTGGCTGTAAGTAGAGCCAGGGGTTGGGAGTTCGATTCTCCACTGTGCCTCCCTGAGAGAGGCTGGAATCCCTGATCCACAAGGTCCCTTTTAGCTCTGCAAGCCTAAAATAAAATTATATCTGGCAGGAGGGGAGAAGAGAAGGACGTGTATAGAGCCTCCTAGGGGGATTTTCCCTTCCTGCCCTTGGGAATCCCAGGGACGATGGAACTTTCGATTGTGCAAAACATTACTTCAGAAAAGTACCTCTGAGCCCAGCCGTCCTTATCCCTACCCCTAAAACAGTTACAGCTGCTACCAGTTTGATGAATGTAATCAAGATCCCCTGAGGGGTATGCTCCCTTATGCTCTATACAGGGTGGCTGACAGCAGCAAACTTTCCTCGGCAAAGCCACGAAGCGGGGGGGGGGCGCAAACCCCCTTGGGAGACGGTCGAGCCTGGCGCCGAGGAAGCACAAAGCAGGCTCGCGGCTAAAAAGCAGCTCCGTTTCGTGGCCCTCGACGCTTTCGTAACGCGGGCCCCGAAGCCCGGCTCCAAGCAGGCAGGGAGGGCGCCGTGTAGGGCTCGCTCGCTGGGCAGCGTGGCTAGTCCGAGCCTTGGTTGGCCACGGCAGCGCTCTGTAGAGCCCGAGCCACGCGTGGGCCCGAGCTCCCCTCCAGGAGAGGAGGGGAGGGGAGGCGAAGGCGGGCAGACCGGGAGCGCTCTCTCCACACACGCGCCAACCCTTGGCTTCCTTCGCCGCCGCGGCGCAAGTTCCACCGGTGGAGCTGCGCCCGCCCACGTTCGCAAGGAGGCGCCTCGCGTGTCTCCGCCGCGCCTGAGGGGTTTTGCGGGCCCACGTCTCAGCTGTTCCCCTCACCGCCGCGAGAGCAGCTGGGTGACCCTCGCCCGCCCCTCGCCTCTGCCCTCGCCTCCCCGGCCTCCGGGCTCCTTGCCACAGGCTCCTGCCCCTGCCCGCCCCTCCGGACTCCTCCCTCTGTGCCCGCCTGCTCGGGTTCCCGTGCCTGTCGTGGCGGCCCCGGCCCGCCGAGAAAGGTGGGCCACCGCCAGGAGTTTGCCCCCGGCCCCTCCTCCTCCGCCTCCTCGGCCAGAGCACTTCGCTAATGGTTAACTTCTAGGCGCTGCGGCTGGCGGTGGACGACGGAGCGCCCGCGACCCAAGTCTCCGTCCGCCGAAAGCGGAGGCGCTTCCCCCGGCTGCTGCTGCTGCTGCTGCTGCCGCCGCCTCGGCTTGTTGGACGCCCAGAGCTCCCGCCATGAAGGTTAGTCGGACCCGCCCGGGCCCCATCCTGCTCAGGTCGCGGCCGCTTCCCTTACGCGCCTCGCGTGGGTCGCCCGGAGGTGCAGCTCACGGGCCAAAGGGGTGACGCACGTGAGGACTGACACACACGTGTGCCAGGGCCCGGGGCTGCATTTCACTTCTCGTCCACACACCTCCCGCGAAAACCCTTTTTTTCCCGAGGCGCGCTCTACCCGGGGGTATGGCCCTCTCCCCCCCCCCCCCGCGACGAAAACGCAACATTTAAGCTGTGACTTGTTAAGGCTGAGCTGCTGCACCTCCTCCTTTCGCTGCTGCAATTCAGACCTGTCGCCTCGCGTTGGAATGGACCTTGGGCTGGGTAGTCAGGCTTTAGGGGAGGGTTTTTTATGACATGTCATGTTTTTTCTGCAGCCAGTGTTTGAACTTATAAGTCGTCTTGGACATGTTTATGTGCAATATGGTGGAAAAGGCCAGATTACTCCTAAACGTGTTTAAACTTCCTTGTGGGTTCAAGTAGAGGTTACAGAGAAAGTGTGAAGTGACATAGAAATCCTCCCCCTTTTCCTGAGCTGGGAAACATGCCAGATGCCAGGTGATGGTGGTCTCTCTCTCTCTCTCTCTCTCTCTCTCTCTGTGTGTGTGTGTATTATCTAATAGATAATTGATTGGGGGTGGGATAATCAAAATTAAGTGAGCATGTACAGAGTACACCTCTTGACTGCCAAATATCCTAAGATGGCCTTATTTGCACATCTGGAAATATAGAGATGGGCTTTTTGACCCCCATGAATACTTTAAGAAGAAATCAGATCAGCAGTAAATTTCAAAGATACTTATTGACATACACTAATATCAAACCCCTCCTCAGATTATTTTCAGGTAATAATAATAAATCTTAGAACTGCAGAACTGGAATGGACCTAATGGATCATCGAGCCAAACCTCTATCGAGGCACTGTGAGGAATCAAACTCTCAACCTTAGGCTCTTCGGCCAGAGACCCAAACTGCACCTTTTAAAAAAAAACCCTAGAATTTAGTGATTCTGTCATCTGCAGCATGTGCGATTTGTGAAAATAACAGTGTTGTTGGGTAGGACCATATTGTCCAGCATATTTTCCCCCCAAGAGTAGCTAGCCAGATGCCACTGGAGTCTGCCAAGCAGAGAAGAAGAAGAAAAACACCCTTTATTGTTTTTTGCAAGTGTTAAGAGGCACATTGCTTCTTGGGCATAGTACACTGATAATCCGGGATATACTGTAATACAAAAGTGAAGCTTCATAGCCAGAATCTTGTTGATGTTCATGTGAAGCAGTGGTTCTTAAGCTTTGTTACTCGGATATTTTTGAACTGCAACTCCCAGAAACCCCAGCCAGGACAGCTGGTGGTGAAGGCTTCTGGGAGTTGCAGTCCAAAACTCCTGAGTAAGCCAAGGTTACGAACCAGTGATGTAAAGCATGCATAACTTGCTGCAGCAAATTCACAAATTACTGGGGTGTATCTCATTTGCACAGTCAGATGTTTGACTAGATATGTGACCAAGACTCATCCTCTGCCAATCTACCTTTGTGCAAGTTTCATATGCATTTAATATCTAATGCACAGCCTATGCAAAATCATGTGCACCCAAGGCGACTGAGATCATTAGGCCTAGGCATGCCTGGTTTTATACTGGACGGTGCTGTTTTGCTCCAGTCGTTTTGGACATTTTGACTCTTAATTGAGGATGAGCAGGCTGAGAACAAGGAGCCATCTAAACTTGTATAGTAGGGATGGGTAACTGCAGTCTTCCAGATATTGTTGACTACAGTTCCTGTCACCCCATCATAAACTATGCTGGATAAGCAGTAGTAATGGTGACCCTTTTCAGGGGTTTCCAGGTACAGAGTACTCAGAAGTGGTTTTCCATTCCCTTCTTCTGGGGGGTGCCCAAGGCCACAGAGGCTGGCTGTACCCACAGGAGGCACAGTGGGGAGTCAAACTCCCAACTCTGGCTGTGTGGCCAGAAACCGAAACCACGGAGCTATCGCAGTTATGCTAGACAGATTGATGGGAACTGCAGTCCAACGATATCTGGAGGGCCACAATTGTCAACCCTTGCTCAAAGATTTTAAGCTCTGTTTTAAAATGGCAGCGATTCCTATAGAGTGGTTTGTGAATTATACAGAAATGTAAGTGGATTGAACACAGGAAGCTATTCACAGTTTGTAAGGCCTCAATACATACTCCTTGTGAGAAACTGTATATTAAATTACATTGTATTAATTATATGTGGATTTAAAACACACAGCTGTGATTTACTACATGACAACTCAGATCAACATTTACAATAGTTAATTAAAACAAAACACAAAGAGGCCATGAAGGAAACCAACAGAATGCTAGCCAATAGTTACAGAAGGAACTGGAGGATAATGACCTTTATTGGCAGATTCTGGTGGTCCTCTTGGTAAGAGACTTGTGTTTGGTTTTGTGGGATTCGAGGGACAGGCAGTTTGTCTTACAGACCTACAGATGCTGTTGAATCCTGAATCCCATGATCCCTCACAATCCACTGTGCTTGGTAGGGCCAGTGAGAGGTTTCACCCAGCAACATCTAGAGGCCATGACATGCCTCATCCCTGTGATATTCTGTGGGGGGAAAAGGACTCACTTAAGCTACCATTTTCTATCCTTTGATCAGTCTTGCCAGACTTTAACCTGGTTTCCCTCCAGTTTTTTTCTGGAATATATATATAGATATATAGATATATATAAAAGTGTGCTGCTTATATACTGCCCCAACCATTAGATATATATAAGTGTGCTGCTTATATACTGCCCCATAGTGCTTAAAGCACTCTCTGGACAGTTTACAGTTTAATTATGCAGGCTATACATTGCCCCCTCCCCCTGTGAGCTGGGCACTCACTTTACCAACCTCAGAAGGACAGAAAGCTGAGTCAGCCTTGAACTGGTTACCTGGGCCCAGGTAATTCCAATTCGAGTCAGCCTTGAGCTGGTTACCTGGGCCCAGGTAATTCCAATTCAGGTTGTGAGCAGAGGTTTCACTGCAGTGCTGCAGTTTAACCACCTTATCCTGAGGCTCCTTGGTTTTTTGCATGCTCTCAAAGAGAGGTGGCAAATATGTGCCCCCCCTGAAGTTATTGCACTACAACTCCCATCAGTTCTAGTCAGCATAGCCAATAGTAAGGGATCAAACTGGAGTGCATAGATAATAAATAAATTTATTAGATAGATAAGAAATAAATGTATTAGATAGATACAGTAATTCATTTATTCATCCAGCTCGTGGACTCCCATGGGCTGGATGAACGTTGCAGAGCTATAATGCTCTCAAGTATAAATGCTAACTATATTTTGGCATCAATTCTGAAGAAGCATTAGATAGGCTTATATTTGCGAAGGCTTTCACTGCCGGGATCTAATGGTTGTTGTGGGGTTTTCGGGCTCTTTGGCCGTGTTCTGAAGGTTGTTCTTCCTGACGTTTCACCAGTCTCCTTTGGCCGTGTTCTGAAGGTTGTTCTTCCTGACGTTTCGCCAGTCTCTCTGGCTGGCATCTTCAGAGGACAGCAACCTCTGAAGATGCTGGCCACAGAGACTGGCGAAACGTCAGGAAGAACAACCTTCAGAACACGGCCAAAGAGCCTGAAAAACCCAGAACAACCATTAGATAGGCCTTTGGTCTGATTCAGGAGATTCTTACATGCTTCTAATTGGTCTGATTCCAGTGATGTTCTTACATGCTTCTGATTTGTTTGTTTATTTATTTGTTTTCAGACCATATGGAAGTATTTGCTTGGAGTTCTTGGGGTTGCTGTTCTCATTACAGCCATAGTTGTTCCTGTTGTTTTGTTGACAAACACAGGTAGGTTTGCAGTGTTAATCATTTCATAATAGGCATGACGGTCAGGAATTCAAACCCCCATCGTCCCTCCTGGGGGGGAGAGAGGTCAGCTGAGATAACATGGAACATGTATGGCTCTTGGGGTTATATGCCACTGCAACACCATGCTATTGGGAAGCTGCATGATCCCGGCACACCATCAAAAGAAGGGACTGGTAAACCCCTTTGAGAAGTTTATACCTAGAAAACCCCATGCGAGTCACCTTAACTCAGAAATGATGTGATGGCACAAAGTCAATTAAAAGGCAGTAGTAATTTGGAAAGCTATTTCTCCAGCTCCCTACAACTGGAGCAGAAACCTTCCTACTACTTTTAAGAGACATCATAATGCATTTTATTTGGCATTAGGTGAATGTACAACTAGGAAGTTAATAGTGCTGCTAATTAACCCCTAGAGCATGTTTGTTCTGAAGTCCGAACTACACATGACACTGTTAGATCTCATTGAGTTGAAAGGTGTGCCCTACTCATATACAGTAAAAAGAAGAGGCAGCATTTTTTTTTACTGCAACACAAGTGAGATGTACAGAATGTTCCCATGCCTACAGTTGATTGTGCTAGGTCTTTTTATTCTGAT